AAAAAATCCAGTCATTTTTAGCTCATATTTCTACATACTTGTTTCGGCAAATATGCTTAATCATTAGATGACTTGTCTACAAAGATTGATAAGTACCTTTCATGTTTGCCCGAAAGTTGCAAACAAAACCAAAGATCAACAACACTTGGAACACTTACCTGATTGATCGACAGACGAGGTATGAACTGAGTTCACAGCCTGAGAAACGTTAATCACCACTGTGTTGATGAGAGGGCTGCATGATAACAAGCATGGTAAAAACATGAAATCACCCCATGATTGCAGGATATTAGTAAAGGCCAAATTACTCGAGTAAAGTCTGTTCTGCTTGAATGGGCTTTCCCAGAATTCCTAAGACAGCTTTCGGTCCTCCTCGGTGTCACATAATAGTAATCCCTTTGTTACCCAGTGCTGGACTGTGGAATGTAGGACCGTGGACGCGTGATAGCAATGTTACAATGTTCCCATTGCGGAGTAAAATCTATCTAAGACCGCTATCTCAAGGAATGAATACCTGCTCATCATACCTTGTTTTTAATTTCTCTAAAAATTTGACGCAAATCCAAATTTACTGAGAAACAAACAGTCTCGTTCCGGGCTCAGACTGTTAATTTTTTTGAATAAGATGGGGACTAGCTGCAGTGGATTGTAAATAATTTAAAGCACACCTCACCTACAGCCTCACCTAAGCGCTTGCTCGCTCACCTGTGCAAGTGTTAGACGATAATTAGCACATTATTAATCACATGCCTATTTCAATGAGTAAAATTTTAAGTACAATTGCACTGCCTTCTATTTTCAATTTGGTCGAGAAATTTTTCTGCACCGCGAGGTGTAAACGCAGCGCAGCAACTTCATCTTTCCGACGCCCTCAATCAAAGTATTCCGATGAAGGCATAAACTTACTCAATTGTGATTCAGCGTGATACGCAAAGGATTTTTTCTTAGCGAATCGCTCACCACATCGGTTATCCCGCAAGATGTCTCGTCCCGCAAAATATCCCGGGAAAGCGTTCATTCGCCCGCGGTCAGTGTTCATCCTCTCCTGTTTTTGTTGATCAAAACAATAATGATAATTAAAACATGCTCGTAGTTTACTTGAAACTCTGAGAAGAAGTATTCGTTCCCTCTACATTGTGGTTTAGTTATTATCAAGCACAGTTTGAAGAGATAAAAGATCAGTTGTCCTGAACAGCTTCAACACAGTTAACTAACAGGATAATATTGAGGTTTGTGTGCG